CCTACAGAACAGACTAGTAAAGGACCTTATTAAGCCTGGGCTTGGTCCTGAGCCGAGAGAGAGCCATTTTAAGGGGTTAAACAAGAAGGTTACATTGTTAAGAGAAGGAGTCACTAAGACAACAGTGGGGAAGGTGTTCCAGAGGAGGCAAGTCCACAGGCCCTCAGTGCCTTAGCTCCAGAGTTCTTTTTCTTTAATACCTAATATGCCTATTTCCCTTTTCCTTTCGTTGTATACATATATATCTCATTATGTAGCTCAGGCTGGTCTCAAACCCAGAATCACCCTGCCTCAGCCTTCTAGTGCTTGGGTTACAGGCGTGTGCCACCAAGCCCAGCTTTGTTTTATTTATATTTCTAAGCTCCTTTCTATAAGGCTGTCTTTGTTTCCCATGTTATTGGTCACACGGTAATCCTGCGACAGGTCTCTGGGTCCTGAGCCCAATCTGAGTGCCGCTGAGCAAGCAGGGGAGGCTGCTCCGAGGATCCGGTTTCTCTCCACCCTGTTTCCTGTTGGGCTGAGTTGTTAAACTGCAATGCCATCAGCTTACCGCCTGCTCCAGTCTAGGGCTGCCAACCAGCCTCTCCCAACTCAGTGTTGTCTGAGCCCCGCCCTTTTGTTTCAGTTACTGAGCAGGTCCTGTGGTCCTGTTTGAGTTACCTTTTTAAATCTGCTGCCTTGACGGGCTTTCTGGAGTCTGAGTAGGATCTGCTCAGTGACAGGGATTGAGATAGATAGTGGGAAAGGAAGTCTGTGGGAAGCAAAATTATACAGTTAGTGCAGATTTTCCTACACTTTGCAGTACCGAGATTCTGAAGCACAATTTCTATACCTTTTCTGAAATGTAACTGTTGAAGTCTGCCGCGTGTATTTCATGTCTGCCATTTCGATTGAAGATGAAGTCACAGGTACTACTGGTACTACTATGGTTTGTGGCCTATGTTCACAGATGAAGGAACTGCTGTCTTTCACTTAGAAGTTGGCGAAAATGATTGTTTTCCCATCCAGGTTCACCAGACCCCTGGCTTAGGGGTTGTCTGCTTTTACTTTGTCATTTTAAGACTAAGTTATTTTTGTTTGCTTGCTCAATTCTAAATTATTTGGGTTTCAAGTCCCCATCAACTGGAAACTGGATAAATAAGATGTGGGTTTTTTTATAAAATGGAGTACTACTCAGCTATAAAGAATGAGAAACTAGAGACATTTATAGCTAAATGCATGCATATTGAGGCTATATTCTTAAATGAAATAAATAGGACACACATGTGTAAATACCAAATAGTTTCTCTAGTGTGAGAAACTAAAAGTATAAATAAGGATTAAAACGATTAAAATGAATAATTGATGTTGTGAAATAGAAAGAAAAGTCCAAAGGGGTAGGGGAAGTGGGAGGGGAAGGGGAAAGGAAAGAAGGAAAGGAAAAATTATGAGAAAAGGAAAAAATAGAAACAAAGTATGTAAATAGGGAAGGGCGCACAGGGAATGGGGAAAAAATAAGAACCAAGATACATCATGTTCAGGTACAAGCACCCAATGATAAATGTAAACGTATTGTATACCTAAAATGTACCAATAAAGGAATTTAAGCAAAACATAAATAAATAAATAAATAATTTGGGTTTATTTTACTGTTTCTTGTGAGCTGTTTAAATTTGAATTGTTTTTCCAGTGTTAGAACAGCAGTAATTGAGGGCTTGGATGAAAAGAAATCAGCCCAGCCACTGATTGGACATGAGAGGTTTCAATGAAAGCTCTTGATAAAGTCACTTGGCAGTGTTTCATGCCACCACTGCTGGAGCTCCCAGTCTGTTCATTTCATAACCGTGTGATATTCTCCTGTAAGGGTGCCTACTTGGATAATTCAGTGTGACACTGCCAAGCCCTGTGGCAGTCTCACCTGTACCAATGTGGATCTTTATAACCTCCCTGTAGGAAAGCAGGATGGGGTTCACCGTCTGTCTCAGAGTAGAGGAAACTGCTTCAGAGAGGAGAGGTGCCCAGCCAGGAGGTCCTAGTGCAAAGGAAGAGAGACTGATGCTGATGCATGGACCAGGCCTCTCCTCCAGGCGGGTCACTGACCAGAGTGACACAGGGCCAGCCCTCAAGAACGTCTCTCTGTCACTAGAACAAACCAAGGCATCCAGAACCAGCATTGCACCCTCAGAGGGCAGGCACTCACTTCATCCTCCAAATATCTCTGAGGGACGTGTTCTCATCCTCGTTCTGCGGGTGGAGAAAGTGAGGGCTTAGACCTCGACTTGCCACCTTAGGCAGACATTAACCAGATAGGATGAAAGCCCAGGTCTGTTGGACTCTAGCTGCAGCCTGTGGATCCCATGCTCAGGGGACCCCCAGCCACAGCCAAGCAAAGACAGAGCCTAAAGAATGGAGGAAAAGTGGAGCCTGGGGGCAGAGAGGTGGTCCCGGAAGGCTCCAAGGAGTAGCCTCGTGGAGAATCCGTGAGATTTTTACCTGGTTTGGGCCAAAGGTTTAGAAAGGGGAGCCTACAGAAGTTACCCTAACCAAGTGTCAAGTCACAGATCAGGAGAGGGATCTAGAACCCCTATAACAAACTGTTCAAATCCAGTATAAAGAAATCCCTAAACGGCCAGAGCCAGAGCTGTACTGCTGCCTTGGGACTGGGGCCGTCAGGTCCTGACAGGCTGCTATGGTCCAGAACTTCAAAGTTACTGACTGACGGCTACGCCAGCCTCTAGTTCTACAGTCAGCGTAAACTTCAGTGACAACCACTTGGCCTATCTGGAAGCCATCTACAACTTTGCAGATGTCTTTCGTGACTGTTTCCACAAGGTCTGTGAAGTGGACCCTTGGTGTTTACATGGCAGTGGGTCACTTGGCCCTCGAGACCAGCTGGATGAGGCCACTGACAGCTGCTTAGGCTGAGGTCCAGTGTGGGGTGGACCTCACCCACCCCCCACCCCCAGCTGGCAGCGCCTTCTGGGATCACCTGCTTGCTCCCCTTTTCCAGGCCTGCGGCCTGCCCCTTCCTCAATTACAGGAAAAGGAGACCCAGCTGGGTCTGGACCACCAAGGAGGAGACCACCACGCTTCACTGGTCCCCAGTTGTGGGCAGGGGCCAAGAGGCCACTTGTCCAAGTAACTGTGGCATTGTTAAGTGATGTCCTGAATGTATGAGAAACCTGTTGTCCTACAATAAAGAAAAAATAAATACCACTGCTAGTGGCATGTGGCTCTACTCCCAGCTACGTGGGAGGCTGAGGCAGGAGGATTGCAAGTTCAAGGCCAGCCGGGGCTACTTAAGACTGTCTCAAACTAAAAAATGAGGCCTGGGGATTTAGTTCAGTGGTTTCACCGCCTGCTGCGCAAGCTCAAGGACCCGAGTTTAATCTCCAGTACCAAAAAAATAAATAAATAAAAATTAAAAATGAGGGCCAGGGATTTAGCTCAGTGGTTTTGCTGCCTGCTGCGCAAGCACAAGGACCCGAGTTTGATCCCCGGTACCAAAAATAAATAAATAAATAAAAATTAAAAATGAATAAAAAGGGCTGGGGATGTAGCCCCTTGGTAGAGCATTCCCGGGTACAATCTCCAGTACCACAAAAAGGAGGAGGAGGAGGAGGAAGTAGAGGAGAAATGGGCAACATATAGGAAAAAGTCATGCACATGAGAGGAAGTCTATACGACTGATGTGACTTTAAAAGGGCTGAATGTCAATGTAGTGCAGGGCAGGGCTTTTCAAATTTATTGTGCATTCAGATTAGTGAATCTTGTTAAGATGCAGATTCTGGCTTTGTGGATCTAGGGTGAGACCAGAGATTCCTCAACAACTAAAAGTAAAAATTCCATTTGACTCACTTGTTCCCCTTCTGGGTATCTTCCGGAAAGAGTTAAAGACATCCTATTGCACCAATACATGCACACCCATGTTGATAGCAGCACAACTCACAATAACTCCAGGCCCCTATGTCCAGGTAGTCTGGCCCCTAACCCCACTGCCATGGGTGCTGTTGGCCTGCAGACCACACTTCTAAGTGGGGAGGTGGTCTCTAGGGACAACTCTTAGGCCAGCCCAGTCTGAATCCTGCCTGTGAACCCCCGGGCAAGTCCCTCAGTGTCTCAGTTGCCTCCTCTGTACCATGGAATGGAGACAGTAGTAACCCCTCCCTCCTATGACTGGGGAGCTAAATGGGTTAATATACAGAAAGCATGTAGTGCTACATCATTTTCTTTGCTGTGCAGAAGCTTTTTAATTTGCTATGATCCCATTTGTTGATTCTTGGTGTTATTTCTCATGCAACGGGGTCTGTGTTCAGGAAGTCCTTACTTATATCCATGTCTTCAGGAGTTTTGCCTATTTTTAGCCAGGCATGGTGGTGCTTGCCTGTGATCCCAGCACTTGGGAGGCTAAGGCAGGAAGATTGCCACAAGTTCCAGGCCAGCCTGGGCTACATAGCAAGACCATGTCTCAAAAAACCAAAAAATAGGAATGAGGATTTAGCTCAGTGGTTCTGCCACCTGCCTTGCAAGCTTAAGGTCCCGCATTCTATCCCCGAAACCAAAAAAGAAGCAAACAGGTTTTACCTATTTTATCTTTCAGCAGGTCATGTGTCTGGTTTAACATTTAGATCTTTGATCCATTTTGATTTTAGTTTAACACTTGGGTGAGAGATATGGGTCTAGATTCAATCTACTGCACATGGATAGCCAGTTTCCCCAGCACTATTTGTTAAAGAGGTTGTCACTGTGTGGTTTCAGGCAAGTTACTTGACCTCTCTGAGCCCGTGTCCTGGTCTGTCAAAGGAGTGATCTGACCTATTTTGTAATGTTATCTTGAGGCTCAAGTGACAAGATGTGTGTAAGGGAGCTGGTGTAGGCCTGGCGCATAATAGCTGCTCAGGAAGTAACAGCTGCCGTCCTTCCATCCAGCCCCTACCCTGCGGGATCAGGGCTGCACAGTTTCTCCCTCTCAGAACACTCTGCTCTGCGAAGAGGATTCCAGTCCTGCGGTGTCACCGCCCCAGCGGGGACAGGCCTACTGAAGCAGGGTGCCCTGCCCTTACCCTGCCCAGGAGGGCGCTGGGAGGAGCCAGGCCTCGGTGTCCTCCTCCAGGCTGCCCTGGAGACCCAGAGGAAGCTGCGCACAGCACGCACTCAGCCCTGGCTCTGGAGGTATGAACAAGGTCGTCCCCCAGGTGAGAGGGGAGCCGGCTCACGGGGTCAGGCTAGGGGGACCCCTACCGGGGACAGTGTCCCCTGCAGCTGCTGAGCTGGTGTGCAGGATGAGAAGAGGGCACAGACGTCGGTGTGGGAGGGGGAGTGGGTGGGCTGAGCCTGGTGTTCAGCTTGCAGTGTGCAAGACCGAGGCCCCACCTCAGGCTCTCGGTGACCCACTTGACAAAGCCCACGGTCTGCCTCCCTCTCCTAAGCACACCTGGCTCTGTTCTCTTGGGCAGGGAAATGGCAATGGCCGTGCTGCTGCTGGAACCAAAGCCCACCCCGAAGGAGAAGGTAAAGGGTGGAGGGCCTGGGCCTGTGGGCTCCGGGGGGGTTGCCTTGGCGCCAGGCAGTTGGCTACAAAGGCACAGAGGGTCCAAGGCTTATGCTGCCCCCCTGCCCCCCCCATTGTTCATGTCATCTGCTCCCAGCTCCCTGCCTAGCCAGCCGGGCACCATTTGCTTAATGGAACTGTTCGTTCTCTCTGCAAGTGCATTTATTGAGCACCTAAAGTGTGCTGTGTATCTCCCAGGCACTGCACCACACGCAGTGGCCACCTGCAAGATAAAATAAAGCCCAAGTCTAATCCTGGACTCAGTGAGTGAGCTGACGATTCTCTTTACCTCTGAGAGATAAAATGTGCCGGGATAACAGTTTAATTAGCATCTATTATGTGCACTGACTCACTGTGTGACTGGAACCATTCTCTTCGCCTGTATGAGATAAAGGAAGGAAGGAACACACACTTCCTTAGCACCTCCTGTGTGCCCTAGCTTGGTCCCCATTTGATCAGTGAGGAAACTGGAAAAGCAGGTGACAGGCACAGTGGTGGCTCCATCCCTGTGAAGTGCTGGCACTGCACATCTCTTTCAAACCTCAGGGGCCCTGGGTGTTCCGATGGGCGGTAACAGATGGATGAGGCAGCCAGGCAGGAGGCTGGTAAGCAGGCCAAGGCCCCACAGCAGCAGAGGAGGCAGGGCTCAGGTTGGACCTGAGGCCTCAGGTCACAAAGCCTTCACTGCTCTGCACCGATGCCTGTTTACACCCAAGTACTGGCCAAGGAGGGGTGGCTTTGAGGTGTGGCACCTTCACCTGGGCATGAGCCTCCATTCTGCCAGTCCTTCGAGTCTCCGGGTGACACCACCTTGAGTCCCCCTAGTGATGCAGTCTGTGCTGCACACTGTTTGGGGATCAGCTCCCTGGGTGACCAGAATGCCTCTCCTCGCCAGCTTCCTGCTGTCTCCCTGGTTACCTGTGGTTGCCAGTGGCAAGGGAGCCACCAACCAGGGCAGTAGGGGTCACAGGTGTAGATTTACACTGCCCCTGCCCAGCGCTCCTCCTTCACCCTCTGCCTGGTGTGATCGCCCTGGCAGTGCCCCATCCCACCTGCTCAAGTGACCACCCGCTTTGGAGCCCCACATCAAGCTCCCATAGTGCTGAGCTCTGCCCTGCACCACACCCCAGCCCTTCCCGCCACTCCCAAAACCTGACACTGAGCAGGTGTGGGGTGCCAGCAGGTGGCTCTGGAAATGAATAGATTAAGCAGAAGGCCTCCTGGTCTCCTGACTCTCTAGGGCAGTGCAGTCAGTGTTCGTGACGTGCTTACTTTGTGCTGGCACTGAGCTGCTCCCCTGAGCTGGGAGCAGGCCTGGGGTCATAGGATGAACCAGACCAGCTCCTGTCCCTTCCTCTTGCTGCCAGGGCCTGCACAGGACAGGCATGCTCCAGATCTCCTCCCTGCACGTCCACAGCCTGCCTCCTGGGTGCAGGGAACTAGGGGGCAGGGACCAGAGCCACAGCCACTTCCTGCCCGCTCTAGAGCAATGTACCCTGAGGACTCTCAACAGAGCTTTCTTCCATCGCTTTTCAAGGAAGCAAGAATTAAGGAAGCAAAGTACAGTTGAGTACAGTTGAGTACTTTGAGTAGTTTGAGTGAGTGCAGGGACGTCTCCTCTCACTGCTAATTCCACAGGGCTAGACTAGAGCTTGGCACACAGTAGGTAATAAATATGAAGAGAGCTGGGGTGTAGCTCAGTAGTAGACCCTTTCCTGGCAGGTGCAGGGCTCTGGGTTCCATCTCCCATGCTGCAAATAATATTAACAATAATAATAATAATAATAAAAAACCAAAAAATAAACACTAAGAGTGGCCTGCATCTAGCACTTACTACATGCAGCTTCTGGTCCAGTACACTAATTCAAAAAAACGAATTCTTCCAATAAACTCTAAAGCAGCTATTATGTGCGCATGTTCCACATGGGGAGACTGAGGCATAGAAAAGTGAAGTGCCTTACTCTGTGTGGCCCGGGTAGGAAGTGGTGGAGCTGGGATTCTAACCAGCATCGTCCTAGGCTCCAGAACAGACCAATGGACTCATGGAAACGGAAGGTTGTGGATTCTCATCCCAGCGGTGCATGGGCAAACCTGGCCCTTTGCTTCTCTGAGCTCCAGTTTCTTCACTGATAAAGTGAAGTGTGGCTTTGAAATAGACAGGAATGAGGTCTACGCAGGGCCTGGCAGGAGCTGGGTACACAAGTGTCCGTCTCTCCCTGTCCCAAGGAGGCCACCTGGGCAAGGCTGAGGAGCAGAGCCTGCCAGGGAGGCACTTGGTGGCACGGGACCCACAGCCAGAGCTGCAGAGCATCATGGGGTGTGGGAGCCCCTCCCCCAGACAGCCCTCCCTGCCCTCACCCCAGTGCGGGAGGGCTGCTTGCAGGGGCAAGAGCCAGAGGGGACCCGGCCAGCGCTGGCACCAACACCGCCTTTCCCGCCCTCCCAGGGAGCCTCAGCCCCAGCTGCTCCCGACGTGGGGCCTGCCTCTCCGCTCTTCTGCTGCTCCTGCTGGCAATGCTTGCTGCCCTTGTCGCCCTGGTTGTCAGCCTTGGACTCCCATCACGCCCTCCAGGTGGGGAGAGGGTGGGTCAGACCTGCTGGGGATGGCCTGGGGGTGCAGGAGCATGGGGAGCCCCGACCTGCCTGGCTTGTCCAGCAAAGGATTTTCAGCCAGTTCCTTCTGGGCCAGACACGGAGCCACACATTCTGTGCCCACTCACGGATGCCCATGGTCCGAGCCTCTGTCTGCACATCCGTGACGTGGCTCATGCATGCACTGATGCACATGGACAGACCAGCAGCCACCGTGGTTAGCACACAGTCTGTGGGTCAAGGTGACCGGCCGCTCAGCTGCGGGTTTCTCTCCTCTGACTCTCCGAGGGAGCCCCAGGGTGGATGGCCTGGCCCTCCCCCAGTGGGAGGCTAATGATGACACTTCGCAGGGCTTTTTGGGGGACTAGAATAAATGTGCAAAGGTGCTTTGCATCCTGTTATGCCCAGATGTAGGGGATTGTGACATATAGTCCCCAGACAGCCAAGATACATCACATCTGACAAGCTTTTGTGACACCAAGATACCCACCATTAAAGCCACTCAGAGCCTGTGGGATGGCAGATACATTGTCAATAAGGGTGTGAACTATGACTTCTCTACACATACCCACAGAGAAGCTTTTATTTAAACCCTGCCATCATCCATATACCCCAGGGGTGTGCTATGGATCTGTTTTGCAGACAGAGAGAGGGCAGGTCACCTGCCCAAGCTCACGAAGTCGGCAGGGAGCCATGCTGGGCTTGGACATTGATGCCATTGCATCCTGGCCTCCCTGGCCCAGCCCTCTGTGCCAGCTCCGGTGGCACTCATGCTGGGAACCCCAGCAGTGACTGCCCCTGCCCAGCTAGGTGTTTCCTTTGACCTTCAGGGCCTCCTCCTATCCACTCAGGGACCCAGGCCTGTGTGACACTGACCAACAGGACAGGCTTCCTGTGCCATGACCAGAGGATCTGCGTGCCTGCCAGCACGGTGTGTGATGGCTTTCACACTTGTCCCCATGGCGAGGATGAGGACGAGAGCCTGTGCCGTGAGTACCTGTCCAGTCGAGCCCTGCTCTGGATGGGCCTCCAGGGGCAGGCCCTGCTTCAGCTCCCACTGAGCACAGCTTTGAGGGTGTAGAGCCTTCAGCCAGGAAGTCACACATGCACACGGGGCCACCTTCACAGCATGTGTCCACTGCACAAGAGCCTGTTTTCGTCCTATGGTGGAGTTCAAGGGCTGCTCCTCCAGGAAACCTTCCCTGACTCCTAGGTTGAGGGCCCTCCCTGGGCTCCTCCAGTCCCTGTTCCTCCCTGTGGGCCAGCCCTGGCCACACTGGTGTCACATCTGCCACTCTGCCACTTGGACACCCCTGGGGCAGATCTAGTCTGGTTGATCTGGGGCCCTGTGCCTGGTGTGACTTGCTGAGTGAATGAGCGAATGAATAAATGGGAAGACCCAGCAGTTCTCAGGGGAGCTCCCAGCCAGCCAAGTGGAATCACCAGAAGTCAGTGTGCACCCACAGCAGAGGGAGAGCTGGGGGCGAGGGGGGACACCTCTCCTTTCCACACCTCCTCCCAGGAGCCTCCCGTGCCTTCCTGGGATGGGAGGCCAGTGACCCTGAATCTGGCAGCTCCAGATGGTCCCGAGGCAGCTGTGGCCAGATGTGAACTCATCTGGCCACTCCCGGCCCCCTATAGGAGATGTGCCCCAGACCCTCCCCAGCTTCCTTGTGGCCCGTTGTGGAGACCCGGCCGCCTGGATCTACTCCGATCAAAAGTGCGACGGGACCAACAACTGTGGGGACTGCTCGGATGAACTGAGCCCAGGTGGGATCGCAGCACAGGCTGGGCTGGAGCAGGTGGCCAGGCTGCAGCCAGAAGGCAGATGCCAGCCAGAGAACCCCCAGGTTCCCCACTGCACACTCTCTGTGCTCCTGCGTGAATACCTTCAGGGCAAGGTGCTCACTACCACCCCAGCAGCTCTCCCTGGAGGCTCCCTTCCCTTTGAGAGTGGTCATGTAAGGGGTGCGGGCACGGCCCACTGGGATGTAAACCTGGATCATCCTGGTCACTTCCCACTGGCCCTGTTCAGAAAGCAGGGCAGGGATCGCCGACTAATTTGCCTGTAAGGAAACTGGAGCTCAGAGAGCAGAAGGGACAAGTACAGGCAGGAAGGGAACCTGGGTGTGTAATCCACCTCTGAGGTCCCTCTTCTCCAGTTCTCCAGACTAAATCTCCTCCCTAGGATTCAATCAACAAATGTGTCCCCGAGCACTGTTGGGGCAGAGCCTGGTGCCACAGGGGGACAATCAGAGGTCAGGCACACCTTTCCTTCCAAACTCACATCATGCTGTTGCCAAAAGGAAGTGCTAGGGCTCCGGGGGAAACAAGGCAGACTTCTCAGAAGAGGCAGCAGGAGCAGGCCTGAGAGCAGACAGGGTTTACAAGGCAGGGGCTGGTGTGGCTGGGGTCAGGGTTAGGCCAGGAGGCAGAGCAGGGGAAGGGGGAGAAGACCTGCACCCATTAGTACTTGGGCACACTGCCTGCCTGTCCTCTGGCACTCAGTGACAGTTCTGAGCAGATGAGCAATGTGGGGCTCAGACAGGACAGATGTGGTCACAGCACCTAGGAGTTGTGAAGCCCTCTCTGCCATGGGAAAACCACAGATGTGGCCAACCCCAGTCAGCAGGGGTGGGGCTAGGGAGCGAGGGCAGGTTTCAGATCTGGAAACCCGGGTGCACGGGGCCTTCCAGGACACAGCAGCTGCCCTGCTGCTGGCTCTTGTCTCCCCAGTGACCACGTGCCCACCCTGCGGCCCTGGGTGGTGGCGCTGCCTTCCCACCGTCTTCCAGTACTGCGGCTGTGTCCCAAGGGCCCTGTGCCAGGATGGCACACAGCACTGCTCCGACTGGTCTGATGAGTACACCTGTCTGCGACCCTGACCAGGCTGTCCAGGCCAGCCAGAGGCTGCTGGGAATGGCGTTAATGACAGCTCCTGCGAACCCTGAATTCTGGGCCACCAGGGCAGGAAGGAGCTCTCACAATCGTCCAGTGGAGTGTGGGTGCAGCTCCACGGTAAAGCCCTTTCCTATCATGCACGAGGCCCTGGCTTCCATCTCAGCACTGCAAAGCAAAGTGAAACACAAATCGCCCAGTGGTACCTCTGCATCCTCTTATGAATAGGAATTGGCTCTCCTACTTTCCAGTTGCTCAGCCTCTCCTTGAACACCTCTGGCGCCAGGGAGTTCTCTGTGATGCTAGGCAGCTTCACACAAAGTTGAGAATCTGCCTCTGTGGTTTTAGATCTGTCCAGGGCCTCCCATTGGAAATCTGCTCCTCTGCTCCAAGTCAGGTTTTCAGATCCTGATCTTAATTACACCTTGGAGAGGAGATCAGTCTGGGGCCTCTCTGCCAAGCAGAGCAGTTCAGCCCTCCAGGATGGCACAGAAGCGAAGCATTTGGTACTTCTTGCCCTGCTCGTATTTAAGGCAGCAGTGCTGCGTGTTTCTTGCTGACTGGTCATGGGAGATTTTGAGGGAGGCAGGGCACTTGCCACCCCACCAGTGGGAAGCATCCAGAGACTTGCAGCTGTAGAACAGAAGATGTGCAGAAGAGAAAGAGGGCTCACCACTTTCTGTCCACCCTGCCAAGCTCCTCTTTGTGCTTCACCCCAGCTGCCAGCCGGGCAGCCCAGGGTTCCTGAAGAAAGGATCCGACCCACAGTGAGCTGCTTCTTTACATCTACCCACTTCGTGACACCCAGGCAGGCAAGGATGGATGTCTCCACCAGACGGACGGGGAAACTGAGGCCCAGGAGAAACAATAAGCCCAGGATCTTAGCCAAAGTAAGGGCTAGAACTGAGACTCAGACACAGCCAGCTGTACCCCAGCCCAAAACCTTTCTAACTGTCCACAGGACCATGCCCTGGCAGGGTGCAGAAAGTGTCCCACACTCGTTCTGGAGGTGTGGAGAGAGAGGTAGACTCTGGAGAAGGGGGGTCCTGTCAGAGGAGACAGATCTATCTCCATTCGGTTTTATAGATCAGTCTCCTGAGTGTTGAATTGGAAATGGGCAACAGAGTGGTGAGCACTACTTCATTCACCGCCCCATTCCTTCCTTGGCCATCTCGCTCTGCATACCTGGGAGTCGGGAGTGCCAGGGCACCAAGGAAGAGGCCGGGGACAGTGGCTGCACCTCACATCATGGCGGGGAGGGTGGCACAGTGGAAAAGGCTGGGCCCCAAGAGGTGCCTGAGGGAGCCAGGCCATCACACTTCTGACTCGATCCTGATCCTCCAAAGACAGTGCTGGACCCGAGCTCCCAGGTGCTGTTTGGAGCTGCGCTCTGCCACCTTCTGCCCAGTTTCTCTGCGGAGTCCCCGCCCTGCCCCACCCTGGGCTCCCCACGGTTTGCTTACGCCTGCTGACCCAAGGAGCCTCCCTCCCCCAGGACACTTATGGAGGAAGGTGGGGAAAGGGCAACCCGGGTCTGTCCCTGTGAGGAAAGCACGGGTGAGCGGGGCTCAGCCAGGAAAAGTCCACCGGGCCAGGGTGGGCAACGCCCAGGGTGGGGGAGGAGGGGAGGTGCGTGAGAGGGGAGAGATGTAGGAGGGCACGGCGGTCACACTGTACCCTTAGGGCAGTGGGGCATCAATGGGGCATTAAGCAGGGAAATGTCTCAGTGGAGAGGCGAGGTAGTGAGCTGACCTGCGTGTCATGAGTTGGGGACAGAGCAGGCAGCCGGGCTCCGAAGTCCAGCAGTAAGGGTTAGCTGTCCCTTGTTGCCTCAGGAGGGCTTGCTACAGAGGTCACCTGAGCAGGGACTCGGAGAGAAAGGAGCCGCACCACAGTGTGGGGCTAGGGGAGGAGTGGCCCCCAAGCTGAAGGAGTGGGAATCCTTGGTGCCCGAGGGTGTAGAAGAGCTTGGCTTCCAGACCACAGAGAGGGACCTTGGCTAAGACTGCAGGGTGCTGGCCGAGGTTTTCAGCAGCAGGAACACACGTGATCCACTTTGAGAAGGGCTGCAAAGAAGGCTGAGGAAGAAGGGTCCAGCACCCCGAAAACTGCTGGGCTTCCGGGGAGGACAAGGAGAGGTCCAAAAACAGCAAAGCTTCCTGCAGAAAAAGTGGTGCCCAGTGCTGCACTGGCAGCTGTCACAAGAATTAGAAGCCAAGGCCAGAGATTTAGCTCAGTGGTTCTGCCGCCTGCCTTGCAACCACAAGGACCAGAGTTCGATCCCTGGTACCAAAAAAAAAAAAAAAAAAAAAAAGAATTAGAAGCCAAAGGCTGGGGATTTAGCTCAGTGGTTCCGGTGCCTGCTGCGCAAGCCCAAGGTCCTGAGTTCGATCCCTGGTACCGAAAAACAAAACAACAAGAATTAGACGTCAGCATTTATTTAGCGGGAAGGCCTGATCTCTGAACTCTGGAACCTCATTTCCTCCAATCTTCACAAGCACTCCAGAACCCTGGTTGGTTATTCCACTTTGCACAGGCACAGAGAGATACGTGTTTGGCTAGGATCACACAGCTTTTTCTTCTGATTCTTTTTTTTGGTACCAGGGATCGAACTTGGGTCCTTGCACTTGTGCAGCAGGTGGCAAAACCACTGAGCTAAATCCCTGGCCCAGGATCACACAGCTTTTAAGATGCAGATTCAGGAGCTAAACTTTGATGGGCTCAAAATCAGAGCTCACCAGGGCCTTCAAGCGTGTGCCTCATTCTCTCTCAGCCAGGTCTCCTAGAGGGCAGCTGAACCCAGGGCAGGGGCTCAGTCTGCAGTTAGTATCTGGCACTGGCAGGAGAACCTGCATTTGTTCTTCTTTGTCTACTGTTCTTCCTCTCAGAAAGGAACATGTGCTGAACTAACCTCCAAACCACACTCCACAAGGCGGACCTGGGAAGACCCAGGGCAGAAAAGTGGGGCAGGCCCTCCCCTGGTGGCGTCAGCAGAGCAGCCTGGGGCGAGAGCTCAGCAGCCAGCATCAATATTTGCCCTCTCCCTGCCTCCTTGGCCCTAGTTCCAAGATCAGGACTTTAGTACAACAGGTTCTTCGCTGTGCAAACATGCAGGGCTAGATGAATGGAATTTAAAGGGGCTCAGGCTGGGCCCCAGGGTCTGGACTGGAAATCTGGTCTGGTTTAACTGTCTGCCGTCACTGTTTGCCAGGAGCTGTCTCTTCATCCTTAGACACACAGCACAGACGTCAGCGCGGGCAGGGATCTCAGAGCACAGCCTGGCTTTTGACGAAAGAGGACACTGCTTCTCAGAGAGGAAGGGAACCTGCCCTAGGCTGCACTGCCTGGTGGCTGTCACATATTCACTCAGTGGTCCCCCCTTGTCTATGGGGTACATTCCAGGATCCCCCAGTGGATGGGCAAAGAGCACCAAACCCTGCATGTACTATGTTTTTTCCTATTCATACATTCCTAGGATAAAGTTTAATTCATAAATTAGGTACAGTAAGAAATCAATGGCAATAACCAATAATAAAATAGAACAGTTGTAACAACATACTGTAATGAAATTCCCAGCATCACTTGTCTTGTGTTTGGGGCCATTATTAAGTAAAATAAGGGTTATTTGAACCCAAGCACTGTGCTACTGCAGTAGTCCATGGCTATGAAGTGGCCTACAGAGGTAGTGTAGACAGGGTGGATCTGCTGTCAAAGGCACAACTTATATCTAGGAAATTTACCACACTCCTCAGAATAACACAGTATTTAAAACTTGTGAGTTGTTTTTTCTCTGGACTTTTCCATTTCATATTTTCAGATTGCATATAACCACAGGTAACTGAAACCTCAGAGAATGAAACCTTAGATAGGGGAACATGTACATGTGTTATGTGTATAAATTACATACATGAAATACACAATTTTTCTTCAGTACTAGGAATTGAACCCAGAGTTTTATATAATCTAGGCAACCACTCTACCACTGAGCCATGTCTCAGCCTTTTCTTTTTTTAAATTTTGAGACAGGATCTAAGTTGTCCAGGCTGGCCTCAAACTTGCAATCCTCCTGCCTCAGCCTCCCAAGTAGCTGGGATTATAGGCACATGCCACCACATCCATCTGAAATGTACAAATCTTTTTGGGTTTTTTTGCTTCTCCAAGAATATATATGTATTGTCATTTCACACAATTTAATCTATGCATTTAACTTACAGTGCTTGGAGGAGGCAATGCCACATGGTACCAGGCCATCATATTTTTTAAGGGAAATCACTTTCAGAAATATACAAATCTTAATTGTATAGTTCAATGAAGTTTCTTTAAAGCAGGGATCTTAGTTACCTTCTTGTTGCTGAGACAAAATACCAAATACTCACATGTTGAAGGAGGAGAGGTTTATTTGGCTCACAGTTTGTGGAGGTTTCAGTGCATAGTCAGCTGGCTGCAAGGCAGGGTGGCACGGCAGAGGCTCACTGCAGAGGAGGAACAGTCCATGGCAGGCTTGGCAGGAAATAGCAGCCTTCCTCCTGCTGTCTCTTTTTATTCCATCCAGGCTACAAGCCTATTGGTTGGTGCCACCCACACCCAGGTTGGTCTTCCCTCTTCAGTAAATCCATCATCCATGCCCAGAACTATGCAAAACTCATCAGTGGACTAATCCAGTATCACACACCTGTGATTCAGTCACCTCCCCAAACCCTACCTACAAGCACATGAGGCTTTGGGGGGCCACCTGGATGCAAGCCAAAACAGCAGTTTTTTTGAGGTATGAATGACAGACAATAAACTATATGAATTTAAAGTATACATTTTCCTCAATTTTACATATGTCTCTTGTAAGAAAGAAAAAGGAGAAAGACTTACAGCAAGGACAGGCTTTATTGAGATAAAGACCTGAGAGGGCCTGCTGGCGCTCTTACAGAGTAAGGGGTTTAGAAGGGGTAGCAGAGAATGAGGAGGCTGGAAACTAGCCAGGATTAGGTCATCTGTCCATGGTCATTGGTCCATCTTGCATTTACACAAGTTTCCCTTTGCTCTGAAACTACAGGCCTCTTGGTCTGGAATGGTTGGTTCTATAAGCAGGACTTTGGCGAGGCCAGTTCATTAGGGATATTGATATTTTTACAAGGCTAAAACAATGTGGGGAGGGTCAGAACCCACGGGAAGCCATCCTTCAGACTTCTTACACCTTCACCCATGTTCTCTCACGAGGAAGACAGAGAACAGATTCCTCTCCCTCAGAAATTCCCAGAGCCCTCTCTGACCCCTCACTCTCAACCCATACTCTGGCCACCACTGACTTCTTTCTTTTCTATGGGTACAGAATACAGTACTTTGGATTTTCCTGGAATGTGACAGACACGAGGCCATACAGAATATGCCCTCTCATCTGGCTTCTTTCACTCAAATAACTATTACAAGACTTATCCATGCTGCAACCATGTCCACTATCCATTATTCCCGTTGTACGGCTTACCACAATCTGTGGCTGAAGAGACATTCTTGTTTTGCGCAATGCTAGGGGTTGAACCCAGGCTTTGTGCATGCGAGGCAAGTGCTGTGCCTCTGAGCAATGTCCAGCCCTGAAGAGATGCATTCCTCACTTATTGATGGCTTTCCAGTAAATCCCAGCTTGGATTATTGCAAATATCACTGCTCTAATCATTTACATATAAGTCTTCATATAGACATATGTTTCCATCTATCCTGGAGCATTAAATAGGAGAATGGCAGATGTAGTAGATCAATCCCTAACTTTTTATGAACTCTCCTGTTTTCCAAAGTGGTTCTATCATTTTACACTCCCATCATCACCATGCAAGAGCTCTGACTGCTCCACCGCCTCACCAACATGTCCCGGTAGCCTTTTTTATCATAGCTCTTTTTTTTTTTTTATCATAGCTCTTCTGGCTGGTGTGTGGTGCCATCTCATTGTGCCTATGCTCTGCCTTTTCCTAGTGACTAAAAAGCTCTCTGGCATCTTCTCATGAACTTATTCAGCACCCACAGATCTTCTTGGTAAAGGATCTGCTCAAATTTCTTGCCCATTTTATCAGATTGTTCATTTGTTTTAGTTTTTTTGAGACAAGGTCTATGAAGCCCAGGCTGGCCTTGAAGTCATGGCAATCCTCCTGCCTCAGCCTCCCCAGTGCCTGGGTTCCAGGTATGTGCTACCATCCCTGGTTACTTTACATAGTCTGAATGTGCATCCAAATCAGATGTATGATTTGAAAATGCTTCTTCCAGTCTGTCTTTTTATTATTATTTTTTTTTTTTGGTACCAGGGATCGAACTCGGGTCCTTGCGCTTGCGAGGCAGGCGTCAGAACCACTGAGCTAAATCCCTGGCCCTGTCTTTTTACTTTTTAACAATGTCTTTCAAAGAGCAGAAGTTCTTTATTTTGATGAAATCCAATTATCAACTTTTTTTCTTTTATGTATCATTCTTTTGTTACTGTATTTAAGAAATGTTTGCTCAACTCAAAGTCAAAATATTTTATCTTATATGTTCTCCTAGAAGGTTTTTAGTTTTAGGTTATATAACTAAGTCTATGATTCATTTTGAGTTTTTTTGGTATAAGATACAAGGAATGAATCACACTTGTCTTTTAGGGAGGGCACTGGAATGCAATTCTTGCAGCACCGTTTGTTGAGAAGGCAATCGTTGGCTACTAAATCACCTTCTTACTTTATAAAAATTAGTTATCCATGTATGCATCATCTTCTTTTCCCATTATCTATCTCATTGCCTAAGCCATACTGTCTTCATTCCTGTAGATTTATAATAAGCCTTGAAATCATGTAATATTAGTGCTCCTACCTTGTTCTTTTTTAGACTTGTTTTGGATATTCCAGGTACTTTGCATTTCTATTTCTGTATGACAACAGAAATTCCTTTCTCCCAGCTTTGGAGGCTGGAATTTAGAGCTCAAAGTGCCAGGAGGCCTGGGTTCTCAGTGATGGCTCTCTTCAGGGTTCTGGCCTCACATAGCATTGGGAGGGAGGCTTTTTTTGGGCAGTACTGGGGATTGAAGGCTTGGCTTTTGTACTGAGCTACATTGGCAGCTCTTTTAAAATTTTGAGACACAATCTAAGTTGCTAAATTGCCCAGGTTGGGCTTGTCCCTGCAATCCTCCTGTCTCAGCCTCCTAGAGTGCTAGGAATGTAGGCATGCACCCAGTTGTCTTCTTTTCATATGGGCACTAATTCCAACATGGAAGGTCCACCCTCGTGACTTAATCCAACTGTAACCGCCTCTCAGGGGCCCTAGGTTCATCCCCCTGTGCCACCAAACAAGCATAAAAACCAAAAGCCAATCGCACATTGCTCTTTATTGGGAGGATTTTTGTAATCTCATCTCATCATCTTCACCCAGTCTCTTAAAGAGGAGTTGTGAGATCTGACGCATCAGGTTCTTGGTAGAACTGGAGGGATGCTGCTTCTTTAAAATGCATATTCCTGGGCCCCACTGGCTCTCCAGAGTTAGAGTGGAGAAGTGGAGGTTAATTTGCTTTCTTTAAAAAAAAAAAAGAAAAGGAAATAAATTGTGTGTGCACGTGTGCATGATACTAGTGCTTGGACCCAATAAAATGATCTTCTTGATCATTTTGCAAAACCCTTTGCGATGACCAGGAAAACTAGATAACTGTTAGAGACCCCCGCGCCTGGAAGATGCCTAAAGATCATCAAATCCAAGCCCCATCTCCGGTTTGGATTGCCTGAGGACCAGCCCTGCCAGAGTCACCAGTCTCTGCACACTCTTAGAAACAGGGAATTTGTTACTGCTCCTGATAGCTGTGACTTTAGAAAACTCCTTCGGCCCAGCTATTCCCCTACTGGGTATCTTCCCCAAAGAATTAAAACAATCGTACCACAGCAATATATGTGCACCTATGTTTATAGCGGCACGGTTTGTAATAGCTAAGGTTTGGAAACAGCCCAAGTGCCCATCAACTGGAAACTGGATAAAGAAGATGGGGTTTTTTTTTTTTTTAAATGGAGTACTATTCAGTCATAAAGAATGAGAAACTAGAGTCATTTATAGCTAAATGGATGCATATTGAGGCCATACTCTTAAGTGAAATAAATAGGACACATGTGTAAATACCGAATAGTATCTCTAGTGTGAGAAACTGAAAGTGTAAATAAGGATGAAAATGATTAAAATGAATAATTGATAATTTGAAATAGGAAAAGGTCCAAAGGTGTAGGGGTGGTGGGAGGGGAAGGGGAAAGGGAAGAAGGGAAAGGAAAAATTATGAGAAAGAAAAAAAAATGGAAACAAAGTCTATGTAAATAGGGAAGGGTGGTGGGGGTGAAGGGCGCACAGGTAATAGGGAAAAAAATAAGAACCAAGATACATCATGTACAGGTACAGGCACCCAGTGATAAATGTAAATGTATTGTATACCTAAAATGTACCAATTAATATATAAATTTAAAAAGAAAACTCCTTCCGCTACTGAGTCAACTCTGTCTCTCATTAATTAGTCCTGGATCCAGTAAACTTATCTGGCCCTTCTGCCCCAGGAAAGCCCATCATGGTTTACTTGTTTGGATTTAAAAGATGCCTTCTTTTGCCTTCTCATCACTCCCCTCAGTCAACCCATCTTTGGATTTGAATGGGAAGACCCTAGTGATAGGAAAAATACTCAGTTTACTTGGACTAGATTGCCACAGGGATTTAAAACTCACCCACGCTTTCTGGGGAAGCCCTAGCCAAGGACTTGCTTGCCTTCCCCGTGGAACAATATAGCTGTGTCCTACTGCAGTATGTGGCTGACTTACTGTTATGCAGCTCAACCCAAGAATGGTGCTGGGAAGGCACCAAAAAGTTGTTGCTGCACTTACAGGAAAACTGGATATAAGGTATCATGGGGAAAAGCCCAGATTTGTGTACAGCATGTTAAACATTTAGGATTTCAAATAACACAGGGTATGCGTTGCCTAGGAAATAAAAAACAGGTTATTAGTGCCATCCCTATACCCTAAACAAAGAAACAGCTGAGAAGGTTTCTTGGGGCAGCAGGCTTCTGTAAAATTTGGATTCCGGGTTTTACAGAAATCTCTAAACTCCTTTATGAAGCCCTAAAGGGACAAGAGGAAAATCATCTGCATTGCACTGTAAAACAGGAGGAAGCTTTAAAAAAAAAAAAAAAATTTAAAATTGACTTAGGCAGCCACCCCAGCCCTATGCATACCAGATGTAAAGCAGCCTTTTACTCTGTATGTTACTGAAAAAAACCTAGGTGGCCCTTGGAATGCTGACCCAAGAAGTAGGCCCATGGAATCAACCGGTGGCATATTTGTCTAAGAATTTAGATTCAGTATCAAAAGGACGGCCTCATTGTTTTTAGGCCTTAGCAACTTCAGTTCTGTTGATTCAAAAAACCCAGACAAGCTGACTTTAGGTCAGGAACTGACTGTGCAGGTTCCACACCTGGTCCTAGAACTGCTAAACACAAGGGAGCATCATTGGCTCTCAAATAATTGGGTTACTCAGTATCAAGCCCTTCTCTGTGAGAATCCCCACTTGTGGTTTATTTCTATAAAACTTTAAATCCTGCTACCTTCTTGCCCACGAAGACAGGCCCTCCCAATCATGACTGCTTGAGTGTCACTGATGAGCTCTTTTCCAGCCGCCCTGACTTGCAGATGACACCCTTGTCCAATGCTGACCTCGTTCTGTTCACGGATGGGAGCAGCTTCGTGGAAGATGGGGTTTGTCATGCTGGATATGCGGTAACCATGAAGGATGTGGTGGTCCTAGCCAGGGCTGTCGGTGGTCTGGGCACTCATACGGGCACTCCGATGGGCAAAGGGTAAAAAAGGTGTGTGTGTGTGTGTGTGTGTGTGTGTGTGTGTGTGTATATATGGACTTTTGCTATGCATTTGCTACATTATACATTATTGGCATGATTTACTGACACTGAGGTCTTCTCATGGCAGAAGGGAAGCTAATTAAAAATAAACAGGAAATTATACAGTTGCTAGAGGCAGTGTGGAAGCCTAGCAAAGTCACAGTAATATATTGTTCAGGACATCAGAAAGGCAAAGACTTCATTGCACAAGCTAACAATAAAGCTGATGCTGAAAGCCAAGAAAGACAACGCACTCAAAGCCCTGCTCTCACCACTCTGGAGGCTGGTGAATCAACACACAGCTGAAGAATGGAAGCACCAACAAGGACAACGACATGGATTATTGTGTTGTACCAGATCACCACTGCCTTAAGTCTCTTTGTTTTTGAACTACGAGTGTTTAGGCCTAGTTATGAAAAGTTTGATGAACAATATGTGACTTTTAAAACGGTAAAATGGGAACCAGAAGGCTATCCATTTACAATATTCTTTGATAAAAACATTATGGGGGACCTGGGATAACTTCTGACTGTGGGGGGCTATTCTAATGAAAAATTATATTGCAAAGAGAAAACACAAGTTTGGTTCAATGGCTCCCTTGTTGGATGAGCCACTGGTAATTGTAACAATTGTAAACAAGGTCAGTGTAATCCTGTATCTATGTATATGCCAATCCCATGGGATCTTATTTGGCTAAAAGGAGTAATATATTTCATTAGAACAAGAAGTTTAAAAAGATCTTGAGGAAATTTGAGAAACACTTCAGGCTTTAGAAACCCAACTAGATTCACTGGCCAATGGCATTACAGAAAAGACGTGCTCTCGATTTGCTCACAGCCCAGAAAGGAGGGACTTGCTTATTTCTTGGTGAAGAGAGTTGTTAATATGCTAATAAATCTGGTGTAGTACAAGAATCACTAGGCAAACTAAAAGATCAGATCAAGGCTCTTGATGAGAAATTTGGTATAGGAGAGCTATCCTATGAGATTAATTTTACTTGGGCAGAATGAAAAAAACTTGGATAGGAACTCAGAATTCTGAGTCCCCTTCTTGTTACAGTATTAATATTAATGTTTGGTCCTTGTGTCATCCAATGGATTTCAAAATTTATATGGTAGCGCAGTGGTGCAGCTCAAGACTACCAAATGGTAGTGTTAAAAAAATGTAGATAAACTGGATAGAACTTGTAATGGATAGAAGAATTATCCCGAAGTAAACAGAGGGAGGAATGATACGGAAAAGTTTTAGATAACTTAATAGATTGAATATTAAGGTAGCTGTAGAAGCAAAATAAGTAATGTGTTCTTTTAAGATTTGCTTTTCCATGGGCCGGGGATTTAGCTCAGTGGTTTCGCCAACTGGTGCACAAGTGCAAGGACCTGAGTTCGACCCCCGGTACCAAAAAAAAAAAAAGATTAGCTTTTCCTGTAACTCCTTAAGGTGAGGATTGTCTGACTCTAACCAGTAACTTCATTAACCTAACAAAGTTACCCTGCCAGGGTGAATTTACAATGTACATGGCCTATCTTGTGTCTGTGACTTGTAAATAGGAACTGGAATTGTATTTACATATCAAAGACCACTAGGGATAAGATAATGGCTAAAAAGGATATAAAAAGGGAAATGCTGAACAAAGGGGGGTGGATATTGACCAGATTGGTTTCTAGCATTCCCGTCCACTTGTGAGAAGAAATTTTATTATTTTATCCGAATTCTGTGTCTCTGTGTATTTCTTTCCAAGATTTCCGTAATAATCTAACATTCAATGTTCCATGTAGCTAGGGGCTCTGAGTGGGATAGCAGATGGTCCACAAGAGCCTTGCTATTCAGTATGGCCCACAAAGTATAAGCATTAGACACATGTTAGAATCTTAAGCCCTCTCCAGACCTGCTGAATCTGAATCTGCATTTCAAGAAGAGCCTTGGGCGATCTGCATGTACAATAAAGCTGGAGAAACAGGGTCTCAAGCAAAAGCCAGCAAAGGATGGCCCATCAACTAACTCATCAGCCACCTGTCTTTGTAAATAAACTTGAATTCAAATATAGCCCCACTCATTTATTTAGTGTGCCTGGCTGCTTCTGTGCTACAAGGTCAGAGCTGAGGAGCTGCAACTGAAATCTTGTGGCCTGAAAAGCCTTAATGGCTAGGATATTAATAAATGGCAATTACTGTTTAAGAATGCAATGTAACAGAATGGGCTTTAGAGTTGGCTGGAAAGGAGTACACATTTGAATGTCACTTAAAAGCTCTGTGACCTTAAGTCACTTAACTTGAGGCTAAGTGACTTGTCTTAACTCTTAAGTCGGGGCTAGCTCCCATCTTCAAGGTTGGTGTGAAGACAGGACATGGCACAGAGCAGGCAGTCAATAAATGGTAGCTTCATTCATATACAGTAATAGCTCGGCTCATGAATGCTTCTGTTGCGTTTGGCAAAATTCTGCTTCAGTTCACAAATTCTGCATTGGGTGACAAATATGACCACAGCCATCTTCCCCACACAAACACAAATGCAGCCATCTTCTACAAAATCATAAAACAAATTAAGTTTGTACACAGAGGTACCAGTGTATATATTCTATTAGCTGGGTCAAATTGTAGTAGTTACAAATCATGCTAAGCTGCCCTGTTAGTTCACATGGTTGTCCATCTCCTTTTCTGTGGCTCTAGTCTCTCAACCACAAGCAGAACTTAAGGACAGCAAAAAGGTTTATTTGAAAAAATTACTGTGTATTGAAAATATACATTAGAAATTATTACATACTTCCATAGTATTCCCCTCCACACCACAAAAGTAGAAATATCTGCTTGCTATGCTAATGTCATAGGTAAATTCAAACAAAATGTAATTATCAGTCCCCTTTCTTCACACACTAGAGTTGAATGTAGAAAAGTCAACTTATATCTGCCGGTCAGTAGGAGTTTAACAAGTCCCAGTCTTCCACAGCAAGACACATATATTTCTGCTTTGAAGCCTGTGAAGAATTATTCTGTTCCTGCTCTGACTCCTCAAAAGTTCTCTTCTTGCTCTTCTTTGACTCTTGGTTGGAGGAAGCTTCATGCTTCAACAATGGCCCTCGGCAGTCCAGGGCTTTCTCTTTGTAGAACTGGAGTTTTCCAGAAGATTTCATGTGGGTGTCTGCCAGCGCGCATATCCTCGAGGCTTCCACTAGAGCTCGATTCTGATCTAGAAGGGTGACAGGGGAGCGTGACGACTTTACTAATGCCCGCTTAAGGCTAGAGATGGCTCACAGGAAGGCACTAAGGCCTAAAAAAGGTAGTTCTGGAGCCAGTGTATTTTGCTGGATGTCCTGTGAAGTAAGTGGTACATTCACAGCACACACTGAAGGTATGGACGCACACTGGATTTTGATAAATGAGTTCGGGTAACTGACTTGTCTGAGATTCAGTTTTTTCATCATTCTAAGAATATAAAAACCTATTTCATAAGGGCAATATGAAGATAACATAATATGACCTTGTTTTGTATTTTCTGGTATGCCTTGGATCCTTATTTTTCGTTACATTTCTTTCATTTTTATTTCATCACCTTATTCTTTAAAATTATGGTAAAATATACACAACCTAAAATTCATCATTGTAACTATTTTTAAGTGTACAGTTCAGTGGAATTAAGCGATTCACACTGTGCAATCACCACCACCATCTATCTCCAAATCTTTTTGTCCTGCAAAACTGAAACTCTGCAACTACTGAATAGTAGTGAATAGTATTACTCAGCAACTCCCTGTTCGTCCCCCTGCCCAGACCCTGACTACTTTCACTGTTCTATTTTCTCTATGAATCTGACTACTCTGGAAACCTCACAGAAGAGCAATCAGATTTTTAGAAACAGCATTTGTATCAAAATTCCCCTACTTTATATTATATTTTACTCATCTGTTGATGGACCCCCGCCCCCCCAAATCTAGGATCTCGAGTGTACTGAGCAAGTCTTCTGTCATTGAGCTCCATCTCCAGCCCTGTTTCTACCTTTTGGTTATACTTTGTAATTTTCTGTACTGTACTGCAGTTTTGTATTACCACAAATCTTTGGAACAAGATAGGCTATAAATAAATAATTATAAAAAGCTATCTTCCTGGTGCTGTTGCTCAAAGCTAAGTGTGAACTTACTGCTTAAGCAATGCTAAAGTATATGAGTCTTTGTTCGTCTGTTTGCTTTTTTGAGACAGGGTCTCTATGTAGTTCAGACTGGCCTTGAACTCATGATGTAGTCAAGGGTGGCCTTGAACTTGCAGTGATCCTCCTGCCTCAGCCTCTCAAGTGCTGGGATTATAGGAATACTTGTCTTAGTGATCATAAATTAGTCAATACTATCATAATTTTATCACTGAGAGAAGACAGGCTCATTACTTTAAGGATGCAAAAACCCAAGGGCAAAACCTCCACAAGAAAAGAGAATTTCTCACAGAAGTACTGAGCTGTCTTTCGAGGTTCAGGGACACTTGACGGCTTCAAGGCTTCCACAATCAATCGATCCCACTGCAGGACAATCTGAAAGGTTATTTAGAAAGATGTGAATCCAAACAAAATTTTAAGCTTTTACTCTTAAACTTTTCTCTTCCCTTTCCACAAAACACAAATCCCTGTGGTAAATATTATTTTGATACCTGGTGATAAAAAAAACAAGAACCAAGTCAAGTCTGGATTTTCTGTTCTCATGCAAGAGTTGAGTCAGAAAACAAACAGGTTGGATGAATGTATCTGTAAGACTCAGGCAAAGTCTACAAAGCCAACTGTCTATTCCTATCCTTATTTCAAGCTAGAAATAAGCTGCATATCCTGAAACTAAATACAGTACTAAAATTTAAAACCTTAGCCATAATCCTTTTCATACATTCCCAGAAGCCTCTTGTGCCTCAAAGCACACAAACTGTAACTCAAACATTCATGTGTATAAAATGCTTGCATTTTCATATTCTCGTAATGATTCATGATCAGTTTTTGGTTTCTTAACTGTTAAAAACGTATTTGTGGGGGGCCAGGGATTTAGCTCAGTGGTTTTGCCGCCTGCTGTGCAAGCCAAGGACCAGAGTTCAATCCCCGGTACCAAAAAAAAAAAAGTATTTGTGGGGCCGGGGATTTAGATCAGTGGTTCCGAGTGGTGCATGGTCCCGAGTTTGATTCCCAGTACCAAAAAAAAAAAGTATCTGTTATAAGGTACTACATATTCTTTCAGCAATTTGACTGAGTACAAAACAGATAAAAATATAAGAAAGAAAAGTAAATGATTATCATGAGTAACAAGAATGTTACATTTACTACTTCTCATGATATGCAATGAAATCATCATAAAAACAGCCAAGAAAAGTATTTTCAAGGCACAGAGCAGGACAGTGAAGTTAGAGAATACAATTCTAGAGTTGGCTGCACCACTCACTAACTAGGAGACTCTCAGCAAGAGATTCAATTTCTGAATTTCAATTTCATTATCTGAAAAATAGGCATTAATAAGAGGACATATTCTACAGAGCTGTGACAAAGGCACACAGAAAGCACTCAGTAAACACGGCTCACAGACCCTCCTACGGTACCTTCCAGGTGTGAAACAGGAACAGATCAACTGAACCTGTTGATTTACTACCAAGAATAAAAATGACAGTAAGAGCTATTTGGGAGCTGGGCATGGTGGTACATGCCTGTGATCTCAGTTGCAGTTAGGGAGCCTGAGGCAAGTTTGAGCCCAGCACAGCCTGACCAACTTAAGCAAACTCTGTCTCAAAATAAAAAATCAGGCCAGTGGGTGTTTTATTTGATCCTTTCAAAACTCTGTAAGAAAAGTCCTAGTTTCTGCATTTTAGGAATGAAGGAACAAAGACTCAAAATTGCCTTAGGTCATAAGACTTATGTTGTTGAGCCAGGACCCCAAGCCTTAGTCTCTCTGAGCCACAACCCATGCTGTTTCCACCTTGCCACTTGCCACCAAACTGCATGAAGTCTTTGGTGACCATCCCACACCTGCCCCAAGTGGCTTGGGGCTTGCTCTTAATGGGCTTTCACAACTTGGTAAAGCACAGACTTAAATGGAAGGTCAGAAAGTCGCCAAGTAGGGCAGTGCAAGTTAATGCCAGCTTGCCTGTGGGCGGTGTCCCTCCCTTCCGACACTTTTAGTATATGTGCTGCTGAAGTGAGCACAGTGAATCCTTCCGACACTTTTAACAAATGTTTCCTGATAGACACCTAGTGTAACCATCCAACTCTGTCCTGGATCCCTCTCCTTGGCTCCAGACCACAATGGGAATGATGGATCTATCCAACTGCATGACTGTCACAGTTAGGAGGGACACTGATGAGGCGGTGGTTCAGAAGCACTTGTAGCTTGATCCAGAACATGCATGATGAAATAACTGCCAGCATTTGTAGCATGGATGAGTGAGATCTGAGTCCTTATCAGTACAACACCAGTTTCTTCTCTCCTGCATGTTCACACTAACAGAATCTGTCCTGAAGTGAGGTCAGACTGCTTTGGTGTACAGTAAGCTAGAATTCACTGAGTCATTTGTTGGGTACTTTTTTTTTTTTTTTTGGTACCGGGGAGCGAACTCAGGACCTTTCGCTTGTGAGGCAGGCGGCAGTATCACTGAGCTAAATCCCAGCCCCCCAATTTGAGTTATTTGTAAAATGGCATTTTCTCCTAGGTCTAACAAAGAAGGGCCCAATCTAGTGATCAGAGAATGAGGCATGAGGCCTGGCTTCCAGCCCTAACTCGGTAAGATGGTGAGTTAGTTATGGCCCATTAGTGTGTATGATTTGACATGAAGAGGACAATTCAGCCAAGGAATACCAAGAAGGTTACTGTCTGTTTGAGGTGTTAGATAACACACCTGGAATTAAAATGAAAAGCTATTTTAACTGTAGGGGAGAATAATCTGGAGTACCTGGTCGGCCCAGCCCTCTGTCTTGCAGTTACCATGATCAAATTCCTTCAAAGGCACTTTGGAATGAACAAGGCCTATGCGAGTCTGAAGTTTGTGCTTGACAGTTTTGATATCCTAGAGAAGGAAAGACAGACCAGACATTTGACCAATTCTTTCTTACATTTAATAGCAAATAAAGATCACCACAAATACTAGCCCTTTCTGAACACCAATTAGCAAAAGCAAAATATCAAACTATAAATGCAGACAGTTGGGTGCAGTGCTGTACACCTGTAATCCCAGCACTCAGAAGCTTGAGGCAGGAAGACTGCTATGCGTTCAAGACCAGCCTGGGGTACACAGTGAGACCCTGTCTCAATAAAACCAAAACAGCCTGGGATTTAGCTCGGTGGTGCTATGCCTCCCTGACAAGAGCAAGGTCCTGAGTTTGATCCCTGGTACCAAAAATAAATAAGTCAGAAGAAATTAATTTAGAAAAATGAAAGAAACTAAAAGTCTTACCTTGAGTCCCGTTCCAGAGATATCTAAACGGTTTAGTTTTCTAAAAGAAAAGAGGTATCCAATTCCTGCATCTGTGATGTCAGGGTTACCTAGATGTCAAAACAAGGCAGCATTTTGTTACAACATAATTGCTGCTAAAATGCCAACTACAAGCTCAGAAAAAAGTGCAGGCAATGATAAACTATAAAATATTGAGTGGGCAAACTTTTCAGAGTAAACTAAACCTAGGGGTCTTATTTTCCCATTTGTAATGTGAAGCAGTCCCAGTACATGATCTTTGTGTGTTTTTGAGACAAGGTCTCGATTTGTGTTCAGGCTGGCCCTGAACTCACTTTGTAGCCTGGGCTGGCCTTGAACTCGTGGCCATCCTCCTGCCTCTGCCTCCCAAGTGCTGGGATTACAGGCGTGCCCCACCACCCCAGTGAACACAGTACATGATCTTTAAACTCTTTTCATATCCCTAACCACATAGGAGATGGGGATGAACAGAAAAGTATGTAAATCAGACAGTTATCTCAAAGGTTCACTTTGAACCCATATGAAAATGGCATATAAAAACATCTACTTGGGCTGGGGATTTAGCTCAGTGGTTCCGGCAACTGCCTCACGAGCGCCAAGGTCCTGAGTTTGATCCCCGGTACCAAAAAAACAAAACAAAAAAAACAAAACATCTACTAAAAATGATCCACTGTGCTTTATTCAGGGGCATTTTACTTCTAAAGTAAAAACATTTACTTATTATAAGAAAATTTTCAACAGTGCTTAGATACAGAAGCTATTACTACTCTAACTTGCATTTTTTTTGTTTGTTTGCTTTTGGTACCGGGGATCGAACTTGGGTCCTTGAGCTTGTGCAGCAGGCAGCGAAACCACTGAGCTAAATCCCCAGCCCCCTCTACCTTGCATTTTTTCCACAGTGTTTCTTATTTACCATCTTCTCAAATCAGAGTACTGCATTTAGTACTGTCCTCTCAGATATAAGATATATGCCTGATACACCACAGATACCAAAAGAAAAAAAAGTCCAATAATTTACTTCCTTGGGAAATAGGGCCAGGCATTCACTGCTGTCGTTTACAAGGTTCAGGACGGGGGGATTCAGCTCAGTGGTTCCAGCGCCTGCCTTGCAAGTGCAAGGTTCCGAGTTCCACCCCCAGTACCAAAAACAAAAGAAACATTTACTTACAAGGCTCAGAGGGTTAAACAGCAGTAGAAGTAGCACAGCAGGGCCGGGGATTTAGCTCAGTGGTTTTGGCTGCCTGCTGCACAAGCGCAAGGACCTGAGCTCAATCCCCGGTACCAAACAAAACAAAGTAAAACAAGAAGTAGCACAGCAAGGAAGACCATGTGTTCTCACACCCTGGCCTTCTCTTTTTATTCTTTTAGCACCACAGCATCCTGCCGTAGGGTCAACAGATGCACAAATGCTAAAAAAAATCTCTGTTGATTTCCTATTACTGAGGTCAGTGTCTGGTTAATCCTGTGTAAGTCACCAAAAACTGTGGATTCATCCAGCTTTTCACTGGGTAAATACCAACAAAAAAGGACCTAACACAGTATGACACTTCGGATCAGAGATTCAAAGAAAAACACCCAGATGTCCTTTATGTATACCACAACTATGAAGGAAGGGTGCCCTGAGTGCACACAGTGAGTGGCGTGGATGATCTATCTGAGAGGGCTTTCCCTGTCCTACTGGAAGTGGCAACCTGCTGAAAGAGGTACTGGGCCAGGAGTCAGAGCCTATGGATTTAGCCCTGCTCGGCCACTTGCCTGTTATGGCACCTCAGAGGGCCAGCTTTCCTTAATCACTCTAAACCAAAGAGGAAGAACTAGATGACAGCTAAAGACATTCTTCCATCAGGGCAGCGTGCACTGCATCTTACAGTGGCTGCTGGGAAAGGGGTACCCAGCTGTCATCGTTGCCATCATCATCATCACTGTCATCGTGGTGGTGGCTGTGTGTGGGCACGCCCCCCCCCTCCACACAGGACACAGGAAAACCCCCGGGGGGAAAAACATTCTTCCAATAATAATCAGAATTGCTCATAAAACTTACAAGATAAGTCTAACAATGTTAGGTTCTCAAGGCCTCTTTGCATCACACGAATTGGTGCTGTCATTTTCCGCACCCCAGCATCAGATAAACAATTATCCTTCAGGTGGAGCTGAGTTATACTAAGGAAACAAAGTCCATAAATAAATAACTTAAAGAGAGTTTGGGGACATGCTTTGTAACATTTTATTTAAAAATATAAAATACCATGTACTGCTGTTATTTCACATGAATTAAGGCTCTTTTGGTACCATTTCAGTTCCAGAGGGAGGGGTAATTAACAGATCAAAGTGTCATGTAATACTAATTTCAGTTGGCAGAAGACACTACAGAAATATGGTAATGAGTAAACAGGGGCTTCTATTAAGGGGACAAACATACCTTGTTAACACAAAAGCTGCATTATGGATAAATTACGTGAAAACCAAATGTATTCTAAATAGGTCAGGAAAGCCTGCTAAAGAACTCCTTTGAGAATTCCTTTCATAAAGCCATCCTTTCATTCTAACCAGCTTTAGGAGTCTAGATTTTCAGACTCGGATTGTTACAGAATATTCATAACCCAGTCTATCCAGCCAACTTGATGTTCCCCCATCCTTCACATAAGAAATCTGAGCCTCAGTGCTACCCAACCCCACAAATACACCTCTGTATGGGCAGCGTGTGGTGTCACAGTCAAGGTGGCCTGGCAGCAGGTGAGGTGCAGGTGTGTGATCCTTCTGGGTGTTGAACACATACAGGAATCCATCTGGCCTCTGCTCTACCAGCCAGACTGAGCAATTTGTGAACCACATGAACTGGGCCATTTTTTAAAATCATGGGTCTTGGAAAGAACTTATCTGGCTGTCTTTTTTTGGGGGGGGGGTACCAGGAATGGAACTCGGGTCTTTTCACTTGCCAGGCTGGTGCCAGAACCACTGAGCTAAACTCCCGGCCCTGGCTGTCTTTAATAGTTCATTTTCTGGGAGGGGAGAGAGCAGGGAGGCTAAGTAAGGGATCAAAAATGATCAAGATCGGGCTGGGGATTTAGCTCAGTGGTTCTGCCGCCTGCCTCACAAGCGCAAGGACCCCAGTTCGATCCCCGATACCAAAAAAAACAAAACAAAAATGATCAAGATATGATATATACATGTACCAATTCCCCAAAACAAATGTAGCTATCATGTATTGCAAATGACACTAAAAAAAAAAAAGTTCATTTTCTTTATCATTTATATTTCAGTGATAGTTTAAAAAGCAAATAGTAATGACTGTGAGAAATGGTGTGACTTTTTGTCTCTCCCCAGGATAAACTAGGAATGAATAAAGGGAAAAAAATTTTGACCATATGCCAGGCATGGTGGCACACACCTGTAATCCCAGCACTTGGGAGGCTGAGGCAGGACTGCCTTGAGTTCAAGGCCAGCCTGGGCTACATAGTGAGTTCAAGCTCAGCCTGAACTACATAGCGAGAAAAAAAAAAAAAAGGAAAATAAAATTGCAACCAAGTAGGCTGGAGTCCTACATGTTGAAATAAAGATTGTTTAGAAAACACAAACGACTGATTGACTGTCCTAAGGCTTGTCCAATTTATACTGCTTAAACCAACTAAATGGAGATTGAAAACATTTTAGAAAAATAAATTACCAAACAAAATGGAATGGGAAGTAATTTACAATCCAGAATATGATCTCATTAGAGCATGCTTTGAAAAAAATGAAAATAATCCATGGACAAGTGACAGCAGATCAGTACCTGGACAGGGCCTCACTGGTGAGATGTTCTAGGAGTTCATGCTCATCTCCAAGTTTGCAACAGGAAAGATCCAGGCGGGTCAGCTCCCGGAAGGACTTAATCTCCTCAAGCTTTTCTGAAATCACCAGATATCTGTGGCATATAAAGAACAATTAACAGCTTTTCTTTTCCTTCTTTTATTTTTTATGTTTTTGGCTTCTTAAGGTCTCATTATGTATGTAGTTCAAGCTGGTCTTGAACTCACTATATAGCCCACGCTGGTGCTGAACTTGCAGTGATCCTCATGCCTCAGCCTCCTGAGTGACAGGATTACATGCATTTTCCTTCTTCTAATAAAAAAGTTCAATTTGTGACTTTGTGCCACAGTCAGCATCCCATCATCTTATGTACTATGTAATAAGCAGCCTTCACTGGCGACTATGTGGGCACAGGCTGAATTTTTGAATTAGTATACAACTTGAAAGTCTTTGCACATGATGGTGGCATAAACACTGTGCATAAAACAAGCCACAAGAGAATACATCTACTTAGTTACCAAACAGCTTGGCATTAGCATTAGGACCTTTATTTGAGAATTTAAAACTTTAGAATATTCAAGCTTTTAATTACTCCTCTGAAGTTGCTTTTTAGCCAGGCATAGTGGTGCATTTAGGAAGCTGACAGGGGGATCACCATGAGTTTTGAGGTCAGCCTGGGCTACAGAGTGAGTTCAAGGACAGCCTGAACTACAAAGCGAGACCCTATCTCAAAATAAATAAATAAATAATTTAAAAAATAAAGTTATTTTTATGTAAGGTATAATTTCTAGTGATTTGATTTGAAAACTAAAAAAGGCCAAGAACTGTCAGTCTAATCTGCATATTCCCCATAGAGTACTAAGACAGCTGGCAGATCTCATTTTATCTTTCCCACTCAAACACAAGCTTGAGCACCTAACCACTCCACTGGACCTGCTACCCTGCTAACTTAACACAAAAGTAAGCAAGGGGACTCTCATCCAGACGGTTATTATGACAAACCACCTGCAACCTAATTACACTGCAGCACCTTGCCAGACTGTTATCAGGAAGCAGCAGAGAGGCCTCTGGAAAGGAAAGGGAGATCACAATGGCATTCCACAGCCCGGCCAGGCTTTGCCCTGCCTTGCAGTTTTTCCATCTATTTCAGATGAGGTCAGTGAATAAAATGAAAGGAATTAAGAATGACAAGAACCAGAGAGGAGAGGATTCTAAGAGACTAGAGAACCGGCCTTGTGACAAGAGAATCCTCTTTTCTCTTCTACTTTGCTCTCAAAGTCTCAAAGTTTCGTTTCCACAGGAGGATGGAAGATGTGCAAAGGTTATACTCAAGAGTTCATTTCTCACTGGGCATGGTAAAACAGACCTGTAGTTCCAGGTCAGCCTGGCCTGCACAATGAGTTCAAGGCCAGGCTGGATTAATGAGACCCTGACTTAAAAAAACAAAAAAGAGTTCATGTTGCTCTTCTGTCAGCAGGATCAAAATTGTCAAAAACATAACAGAGGGCTGGGGATTTAGCTCAGTGGTTTCGCTGCCTGCTGTGCAAGCGTAAGGACCTGAGTTTGATCCCCAGTACCAAAAAAAAAACAACCAAAAAACAATAGACTAATCAGAGGGCAAGAGGCAGGTTGGATTTCTTTTCTTTCTATATGCAAGCAAAATTAGATGTATAATACTCAACTGATCACGGGCCTGACTGCTGGGTAAAGATGGCTTGAGGTGCTGGAACCCCAACTGCAGAACCTATGCTGCTCAGCTGGATACACAAATGAGCCTTATTTTTTTTTTCTTTTGGTACCAGGGAATGAACTCAGGACCTTGCTCTTGTGAGGCAGGCACAGGAACCATCGAGCTAAATCCCTGGCCCAAGTGAGCCTTATTTACTCAGCCTTATTTTAACTGCACTGTAAGTAAAGTTGATGTTTTCCACCTTCCAATCACAGATCTCCAGGTTCTTGCCTGCAACTTGTCTTCTAACTTGATCTGTAGATATCAACAGTATAGTGGAGAGGCAATAGAGAAAGCAGACATGTTTTAGTGGCAGAGAGACCTGAGATTTTAGATTCTAACAGCCCTAATTACTTGTGTGATTGTAAGAAAGTCATGTTAAGATTTCTGAGCTTCAATTTCTCCAACTAGAAAAATGGGGCTTAATTTTTTTTCAGAAGTGAGAAAAACATAAACAATATTTAAAAAGCACATGTCACCTTAAAAGGTTCCCATTGAACCCTATTATTATTCAGTAATACAAGGTGGTATTTTAAGGAAAACATACTTGCTTCCCTGTGACCATCAGTGGGGGTTAAAAACCAAAGGGTTTTAACATGAGAGGAGAGTTCTGCAGGGTCAGAAGCTAGCTACAAAGACACTGGCTGCTTCTCCCTTTGGCAGATATCTTTGTGACCTACCCCAAGAGAGCAAGTGCTTATTTTCAATTATCTTCTCAAGCTCATTCCTTACGAGCTGACCCCCTCTTGTGCTGGCAGAACTATGTTGCTGCAGCTTCACCCCTGGAATGCAAATACAACCCCAAACCTGCTGCCTGTTAGTTTCCTCTGAGGAGTCAAAAGGATAAAAAAGATTTTTCATCATAATTTTTAAAATTCTACTCATATTTCAAGATCAGTGAAGTTTGGAATTATTGCAATAAAATATGATCCCAAAGATTATGTTAAAAATGTTCCCTTTATTTTCTGATAATAAATGTAATCAATACATGACTGCTCAGCACAGGTACATGTCTGTGATACCAGTACCTGGGAGGCTGAGGCAGAAGGGTGTCAAGATGGAAGGCAGTCTGGGCAACACAGTGAGATCCTGTCTCAAAAAATAAAAAAAGAAATAAAGAAATAAAATAAAATAAAAAAAGGGCTGGGGATGTGGCTCATTGTGAAGGTCCTGGGCTCAATCCTCAGTACTACAAAATAGGGCAGGAGGGCCGGGGATTTAGCTCAGTGGTTTCGCCGCCTGCTGTGTAAGCGCAAGAATCCGAGTTCGATCACCGGTACCAAAAAAAAAAAAATACAGCTGGGGATTTAGCTCAGTGGTTCTGCCACCCGCCTCAGTACTACAAAATAAATAAATATAAAATAATACATGCTTACTGGAGAAAAAAAGTATTAAATATGGAAAAGTATAAGAAAATAAAACTAATTGCAATCCCATGGTCTAGATTGTATTTTGTGTTCTCTTTTCTACATATCCAATAAATATATAAAAAGTAAAAACAAGACAACCCACTTTCCAGATCCCCTCCTGCCTCTCCCTCAATAAATTTCCTACTCTTAAAAAACCAAAACAAAACAAAAACAAAAAATAAAAACAAAATTGGGCTGCAAGCACAGCTCAATGGTAACAGTAGAGCACACATGTACACACAAAAGAAAGGAAAAAACTTGGGATCCTACAGTATATGCCATTTTTTTCCATTTATTATATTGTGGTCATTTTACTGTATCATCTTAAATGATCCTAAAACATTATCTTAACAGTTCTATAATACTTCACCATATGACTATATCAATAATTTGCTTTAACAAATTCCCTATAGTTGGACATTTGGCTTTCAGACACTCACTTGTACAAACAGTATTACAATGAGCACTGTTCTACGAAAGTATTTGTTCTCATTTCTGATTACAATTAGAGACTGGATTAGTTTCTTTTGTTTTGTTTTTTTGAAACAGGGTCTTCCTGTATAGTCTAGGCTGGCCTTGAACTTACTATGTAGTCCAGGCTGGCCTTGAACTTACTATGTAGTCCAGGCTGGCCTTGAACTTACTATGTAGTCCAGGCTGGCTTTGAACTTGCAGCAATCCTACCTCAGCCTCCTGAGTCCTGGGATTATAGGTGTGCGTCACCATGCCTGGCTAATACATATATATATATATATATATAGCCAAACTGCCTTCCAGAAATGCTACCCTAATTCATGTGCTCATCAAACATGAACGAAAGTGGTAGTTTCATCACAATCTGACCATGGGAACAAAAACATAAATACAATTTTCAAATGCATGAGAAATACTTAAGGCTACAAGAGTAGATGGGGAAAAAAACAGCTATAGAGAATGTATTCCAAAGTGTATAAAAATATATATTTGAAAATGATTATCATGGTGGGACTATGAATTTTTTACATATTACAGTTTTATATTATTTCCCAAATAGTGCATGTTTTTATAAATAACTTTTAAACAAGGTTACACCATAATCCTATTTTTCACTATTCTAATTTTTCTACAAGGAACATAACTTGAAATAAAAAGGAGTAAAATGTATATTTAATGGGAGTTGCAATGAAATACAGCTTGACTTTTTCACTTAGGCAGGGTAATTTTCCTCCTTCCCAACAGCCGCAGTCCCAGCCCTGCCAGGACTGAGACCACCGCAGGAAGAGCTTTTGTAAGAAACTTGCTCAGTTTATGAATTTAAGATTCTGTTCTTCTCGGCATACATTTATGCATTTCTTTTTAAAATACAGTATTTGGTTTATGGTGAAACCATTAACTCCATGAGCCATTTAAATAAAGATTTTTTTTTTTTAAGTATAGGCATTTAGATTACATTTTCTGGTATAGCTTTTGAAAATTTGGTCTCATTTCTCTGGTCATATTGATTATGCATCTATAAGCTGCCTTTTACAGTTCCTAATCCTAAAAAGATTCAGCTGGTGGTACACTATAGCTATTTTAAAAGCCTGCAAGTATTTATGATAAATGATTTTCAAATGATGTGGAGAAAGCAAGGTATCTACCAGTGTATGCAGTGTGCAGTTATTTGTGTAACAAACCATGCAAATGAACAGCATAGCTCTGGAATGACAGAAAAGGGGTACTAGTAGCTCGCCTCTGGAACGAACAACAGAAGAGGAAAGAGGAGATGAGGCAGGAGGGAGGCTTTCTACACCTCCGTGATCCTGTCTTGAATTGTTTGTCCTGGTCTTTTTTTTTTTGGTACCGGGGATCGAACTCTGGTCCTTGCACTTGCGCAGCAGGTGGCGAAACCACTGAGCTAAATCCCTGGCCCATGTCCTGGTCTTTTTTGATTGATTTTTTTTTTGAGTCAGGGTCTCTCTATGTAGTCCAGGCTGGCATTGAAGTCATTATGTACCCCAGGCTGGCCTTGAATTTGTGGCAATCCTCCTGCCTCAGCCTCCCAAATGCTGGGATTACAAGCATGTGCCACCATGCCCAGTTTGTAAATTATTTTTAAATTAAATGTTCTGAACATGTTTTTACATAACAGTAGAATAAAACTTTTGAATACATAAAAGCATATGAGCAAAGGCAAATCACAAGACATCTGCTTTGTTAGAGAATTTCTCAACTTTAGCATATGTGACATTCTAGTCACTCTTTCTAGGTTACTTTTTAAAAAATCTAACAGTCAATATCTACTAGTCTTAAAACTGAAACAGCCAGGCATGGTGGTACACACCTATAATCCCAACAAGCACTCTGGAGGCTGAGGCAGGAGGATTGCCAGTTCAAGGCCAGCCTGAACTAAATAGCAAGACCCTGTCTCAAAAACAAAAACAAACAGGGCCGGGGATTTAGCTCAGTGGTTTCACTGCCTACTGCGCAAAGACCTGAGTTCCATCGAGTTCCATCCCGGTACCAAAAAACCCAAAAACAAACAAACACACCTGAAGCAGGACCAAGAATCCTGGGTATTAATCTTCACACTCTCAAAAGCATACCAAAAGATATTTGATAGATTACATGTTGTCCCCACCTCAACCCTTTGCTTTTTTAAAGACAGAGTCATGCTACATAGTTCAGGCTGGCCTTGAATTTGAAATCTCCTGCCTTAGCTTCCTGGGAATTAGATTACAAATGTGTCCCACCACACCCAGCTCACATTTGTCTTTTCTGATTTTGCTTATTAGGAAAGCTGGCTGCAAAGTATATGTCTACTGGTGGAGCTGTAGCAATCAACTAATAAAATATTTTCAAAAGAAAACCAAGGGTAGTGTGGGAGATGAGTAGGTAATAAAACAGTGATATTTCTCAAAATGGCCTACCACTCTGTATTTGAAATTCCATATTGAATTCCATATTCCATATTGAAGTATTATTTGATGAGGGACAGTCTCAAGCTCACTAAGCCCCAGAGCGCAACAGAATAAACACAGCCATTAATATCCTCAAAATCCTAATGAGAATGCTCACCTGTTCCGCAAGCACAGGGAACAGAGCACCAGATTCCCGTAGGCCTCTGTGAATTTCTGTAAAGCCCGCAGGCCTGCACCTGGCTGTGTGAATTTCTGTCTGGCTTCAGCAGCAGAGAACAGCTTTTCAGCAATCTGCTCAGGAAAGCCAATGAGGGAATCAATGTGATCCACATTGTCAGAGATGAAGCCCAGAACGAGGCTGAAGAGGGATTTGGCAGAGTACCGAAGGTTCCCCTCCCGGGTGTACGTGAAGATGAAGTGATCCGTCTTCTCTTTCTGAGCAGTGTCGTCTTCCCTGTTCATGCAAAGCTCCACAGAGAAGCCTTTGGGGAACAGTCTGAAAGGATTGGGCCTCTTCAGGCTGCTCCTGACGCCACCTCGAGCCAGGCCGACCGTGTGCAGCTGCCCATTCTCTCGCACGTAGATGGGCCCTGGGTCCAGGTGCTTTTCTGAGGTGAGGTAGTACGACATTGCCTGGGTTGTGACTGTGAAGCGAGGCACAGGGGAGAAAATCCAATTAAAATGCCATCTGGAGCTGTAACCTCACTGTGCTGGGCCTGAAGCTTTATGAGCCTACTGGGCAGGCACTGGCTGGCGTGGGGGAAGCGATGCCCGAGAACTTTGGAACCTGAGGGCACCTCCCGTCTCTCCTGGAATGCCCTTTGCTACCCTTTCCTTGACGATCTGGTGACGCACTCATTGTTCAAAACCCAGCTCGGATCCCAACCCTGAAGTTGTCACAGATGTCAGTGGCAATTCTTTTACAAGTAATTTCATGGCAGCACAGTTTATATTAGCAAAATAACTGGAAACAACCTCAAAGTCCAACAACTGGGATGCTACTACAAAAATTACCCATTCCCCGGAACATGCAACATTATGAAGCCATTAAAATTGCAGAATTGAAAACATTTAAAAATACAGCCAGAACTGCAGACTCGGGAGGCTGAGGCAGGAGGATTGTTGTAGTTTGAGGCCAGCCTGGGCTGCACAAGTGAGTTCTAGACCAGCCTCAACTACACAGCAAGACCCTGTCTCAAAAAAAACCAACAAAAAACCCTAAACAAACCAAAAAAATACAGCCAGACATGGTGTTGCACGCCTGTGATCCCAGCACTCAGAAGGCTGAGGCAGGAGGATCACCATGAGTTTGAGGCCAGTGTGGGTTACATAGTGAGTTCAGGGCCAGCCTGCAGTACAAAGCAAGACCTTGTCTCAAAAAAAACCAAACAACATACAGGAAAAAACAAACAAACAAACAAAAAACTAAGAACTCCCTTGTTAGCTCAGCATCTTTACACACTTTTTTTTTTGAGACAGGGTCTTGCTATATAGTTCAGACTGGCCTTGAACTAATTACGCACACTATATAGCATGGGCTGGCCTCGAACTCACAACAATCCTCCTGCCTCAGCCTTCTGAGTGCTGGGATTACAGGTGTGTGATACCATGCCTGGCTTCCACATACTTCTTTATTGTGCTTGCCTCACTATTGTGTTGTTCATTTGTTTGGGACCAGCCTTCTACTGCTCTAAGCCCCAACAGGAGGGGCCATGTTTATCCAGACTCCTTAACATAGTACCCTGGCATGTTCAGTCCCTGAGCTGTAGAACTAAAGTTCACTCATCTGCTGAACCTTACATAAACCACAAGCAAAGGATTGTTTCTTGTTTTTTGTTTTGGATCTACAAATAAAAGCCTCATCACAAGAGCTAAATAAAAACTATTCTAGCCTTTGAAAGCATCACATCTATCAAGGTCCTGTTGGGGCACTTTTGAGGTAAGTCAAAAAAAAAAAAATCCAGTTGGGTATTTCTGAAACCCAACAACTAAATGGAATAAATATATGTTTTCTGGACTGAGATTTCAAAATACACGAGAATCTGCTGTGTTAAGTTAAATGAAGGATATTTAACTTTCATTTCTACAACAATTTAAAAGGAAAAGAGAAGGAAAATTTAATATATTATAGATCTGACATTATCCCTGAAACACTGATTGACTTTTTTTTTTGGTACCAGGGATCAAACTCAGGACCTTGCGCTTTCAAGGCAAGTGGCAGAACCACTGAGCTAAATCCCTGGCCCTTTGACTTTTTTTTGAGACAGGGTCTCGCTATGTGGTTCAGGCTGGCCTCAAACTCTCAGGCAATCCTCCTGCCTCAGCCTCCCAAGTGCTGGAATTACAGGTGTGCAGCACCATGCCCAGCTACTCTGATTGACTTTTACAGTGAGCAAATTCAGTTTTTTCTGCAGTAATGCAGAGTCACAATATGGCCCTGAAGCCACTCACAAGTGTCAACAAACAAGTCAGTGATCAAACATGCTGAGTCTCGAGATAAAACAGTGAGCTATGTGTGGGAATCAGCACTATCCACGTTTCTCCTGAAGATAATCGTATGTACAAAGCACGTGGAAAAAAAAAAATAAAGCACCTGGCATCGCCCAAACCTCAACCTCTTCGGCTCATTGGTGCACACTCAGCTCTGCAGCCATTCTCCACTAGCTGGGTGGACTACACATGCACTCTGGCCCCACTGGACTGAGCTTGTTCTATTCCCTTGGGCTGGAGCATCCTTGTCTGCCTCCCTACCTAGCTACTTCCCACCCATCATTAACACTCAGCTCACTGCCACCTCCTCTCCCAACCTCTGTATCAGTACACGCCTGTCTGGTTTCCCCAGAGCACCCAGTGTCTCCTTCTACACGGTACTTAGCAGTGTACTTTCTGTGCACTTGTGACTGCACCCAGAATTGTGAGCTCTTTGAAGGCCAGGCACTTGATTGATCTCTCTTTCCCAGGCCTAACAGTGTCCTGTGCTGAGTAAGCCCTTAACAGATACTCGTAGAACTGAATGAGAGGAAGGGTGAGACCTCTGTGGGAAGATTTAGTGCTCTGAGTTTCAGGGCCTGCAGTTACTGTTGCTAGGAGCCAGCGCCTCTTCCAGGCAACAGCTGCAGGCTCCTCCCCCACTTGCCAGTCCCTTCTGCAGGTGGCAGAAGCAGAGCAGATGATGGGAGTATATTGCTACTGGTACTACCAGGAAAAAACAACAGAACAACTAAAAAGCAGGGGGAAAAAATCCTGTCACTGTGCCAGCTCTTATAACCCATACTGTTCTCCCGCCAGCATTCAGTGTCCGCTGCTAAGGAGACGTCTCACTTACTCTAAGCTCCCTTTCCGGGAGGGGTGTGCATCTGGACCCTTCAACCTCACAGACCTCAATCCTGATGCAGAGAAAAAGCACTTTCCTTTAGTCTTTATCCCTGTGCTTGCACATTCAGAGCCCTACTCTACCTGCAGATCCGAAAGCAGACATTAGGTATGGATGGCCCTAGAAAGGAATGACTTGATTTTAACAGCAGGCAAATTCTATGGAAGATCACACACTATAATAAATCAGCACACTGTGAGCGCCCTGAACAATGAAACTGGGTCTGCTCATCTGCATTGCTTCTGATCCTCATCCCCAATCATGACCTTCCCCAGGCTTTGGAGTAAGATGGACGGTGGATAGACAGCCACGGGGGTGAACGAATAGATGACCACTTCCAAGGAAAACTTTGGAAGTACGATTCCATCCAGCAGAGGGCACAAGCAGCTTGGGACCAGAGTATGGATGCTGATCCCTGTCCAAAATCTGGGCAGTTCTAGCTTCCAGGGATCCTTTTCAAAAAACGGCTGCTACAACTGTATTTTTTCTTTAGATTACTCATCAAATGCTATTTCTATTTCTAAATAATGGAAAAAAATTTAGTATTTCCTAAGAGGAGACCACATCATTAGTCCAGACAGTATCCAGAGGCCTCTCTTTTCTTCAGCTGTCTTGACAAACTGACCTTGGTTCAGGGAATCCTGGTGACCTTCGATTTCCATTACTAACTCTTCTGTATATAACCTGTATTCTCCTAATAAAGCACTTCCTGGGAATTTGTGGGCACTATAAAATGATCTAAGAATTAAATGTTTGAATCTTTCAAAGATAAAAACCATAAAGGTAAGACAACACAAATCATCTATACTTGATTCTGCTTGGCTCTATTGTACATGGTGGCCTTTTATAAACTGTCCCTGGGGAAAAAGAGCCTTGTTCATTTGTTTTGTTTTTCTGAGACAAGGTCTCACTAAATAATTGAGGCTGGTCTTGAACTCACTGAGTAGCCCAAACTGGCCTCGAACTCACAGCAATCCTGCTGCCTCAGCATTCTGAGTAGTGGGATTACAGTGTGTGCCATCACACCAGCTACGGCCTATTCCATACCATGCCAAAAACCTCATACAAACTGGAAAATTAAAACAGTTGGTGCGTCCAAAGATAATGTCCAGCTGGGTTTAGTGGTACATGCCAGCAAACCCAGCACTCTGGGAGGCTGAGACAAGACCACAAGTTCAAGTCCAGCCTAGACAATTTAGTGAGATTGTCTCAAAATCAAAAATTTAAAAAGGGATGGGAATGACAGACGTTCTGATGGGTCTCCTAGCCCACTACAAACAGGCAGTTTTGTAACCCACAACATCAAACAAAAATATTACAATAGCGCATGTTGTACTGTCTGGTCATCACAAGTGAGTCAAAAGCACATCATTTCAAATAAATGAAATATAACCTTACTGCATTAAAAATTCAGCTCTCTACAACTTCTTTGAATGAGGCAAGATAACATAATAACAAAACATGGCAGTTTTTTAAGCATGATTATCCCAGTCATGTGAACTGGAGGAGGAAAGGGAAGAGGTAAGAGGGTAATAATACTAAAACTCTGAGCTGAGCTGGGTGTGGTGGCACACGGCTGTTATCCCGGCACTTGGGAGGCTGAGGCAGGAGGATCACTAAGAGTCTGAGGCCAGCCTAGGGTACATAGTAAGACTCTATTTCAAAACAAAACACAAAACACAAAACAACTCTGAGCTAAATCTATGGCTAACTTGAAGGGAAAAAGAAGAAAACATCTAACTTCAGTAAGTAAAGTAAGTTCACAGTCGCCTAGGAATAGAGACCACAGCAATGACGGATATTAAGGATACTGGATGTGATGGCTACCAGTTATTAAGAACATACCAGTTGCCATGCACTGTGCTAGGTACATGTAACCATCAATCCTATGAGGTCATTGTTGCCATTTAATAGATGAAGCAGTTCAGAGAACTACAGTAACATACTTAAGGAACAGAGTTAGAAAGTGGAGGAGCCAGAATGCAATCGTGGCGCCGTACTACTCCAAAGTTCAAACTCTGTGCACTGCATGATGCTGCTTCTTATGAATAAAAATATGACGTCAGTCTTAAGGATTAGAAAAAAATATTAAAAATCAATCTCACCCACCTGTCTGATCCCTCTGGTACTCCACTGGCTCAAGCCGGGTGGAGGGGAACAGGGAGGAGATAAAAAAAACAGTGGACATCTGAGGAAAGAGTCGGTGGGAACCGGGCCAGGGCCAGAGTTACAATGAGGCCTCCTCCCTTCTTCTCTCTGCTAGGGCAGAAAGTAGCCACATCCATACACCAGGAAAATGTCTGTCAGCCCCTGACCTTCATTCCAAGGCCATGGACACCTTGGGTTTATTTGAAAATGTAGTATTCTTGAGAAAATTTCTAACATAAAAACCTGACCAGGAACTAGTTGTAAACTACCTTTAGCCAACTACCGATCCACCCTCATTGTTCCGCGTCACTGCCATTATTCAGTTTTCAACTCTCCCCGCTACGCGGTTTTCCCTGTACTTCTCACCCACCGGTCCTCCCTTGGGCTCCAGGGTCTCATCGCACCCAGACCCCTACTCGCCACCCCTCCCCCAGGAAGCCAGGGTCTCAGTATCTTGATACTCAGCAACTCTCCAGCTTCTCACACAAAATCCAGTCCCCACATCGAAAATCTTGCCCTCCTTCACCCACTCCCAGCTCCACACCCCATACCCTTCCACCCCTTTTGTGCCCTTCTGAAACGTGGCTCCCAGTCGCCAGACCAACCTCTTCTCCGCCTGCCTACCCTCCCATCTCCACGCCATTCCACCCCGCACCATCCATTCTTCCCTCTGCTCACCTCGGGGCTTTCCTCTCCAGGAACCCAACCCCTCCATCCCTTTCCTTGGTCCTCAACCTTCAAAAAACCGCTTCCTTCCTGCCCGTCTCCCAACTTCACAATCCACAGCTCCAACTTCTTTATTCCCCACCCCCAAGACCGCACCCCTTCCCCTATTCCTTTCCTCTGTGGACCCCTCCAACCCCATTCATTCCCTTTCCCCAGTACAATCCCTCTCATTCCCCCACCCGAGCTAACCTACTCTCTCACCCAGCCGGGCGGCGGACCCCAACTCTCCCACGCTTCCCAGCCACCGAAGCACCCCGCCCCC